TGTTAAAGAATTTTTACTAAATATTAGTACGTCTTGTGATCCTTCATCTATGCTCATACTTCTTTGTGTTGGAGCTCGCATTAGTGGTGACTTTTCAATAATTTCGATTTCTGTGCTACAATTATTGACAGAACATGTAAACATAGTTTCTCTAAGGTTCTTAAGACAAAGACGGTGTACAGTATGACCACATGTTAATACGGTGAATGATTTTTTAAGTATGTGCAAAAAAATTTCTTCATTGCATATAGAACACGAATCTAGTTCAGGAACTTCAACACCGCTTGCAATAGTTTCGGGAGAGCCATTTTTAAGAATATTTAATGCAAGAGTTTTAAGGCAAGTAATATTCATACTTGCAAATTTTTGTTTACTGGTATATTTCAACCAAATAATGCATGCTTTATAATGTTAATAATGTTAATAATGAAAATTTTCACATTTACCTGATTATATATTATTTTTTTACTACCCGGGAATATTTGATAGCTAAAAAAAATTACCTGAATTTTAACCAGATAAGTTTTTGGAATTTATTATATACTTCTTATAATTAATCGATTGACAGATTTTTAGTAAAGCTAATATGAAATATTATTAAAACCAACTTCGATTTTAGAATTACTCAATTTTTTAGTAGCAATTTTGTATATATATATTTGTGGTTTATATTAGCCTCTTTATTTTATATGAGCGATCTCAGACGAAAAGTAATTTGTGGTAATCTGTTCATTCACGAATTATTTAGTATGAACCAGAAGTGATCGATCTACTGGCAATTTTCAAGTTTATTAGCATTTTGATAATACCGATCTTGAGCATGTTTTACAAATATTCCATCAGGTCGATAGAGCCATTTAATTACTGCGCACTGGATTATTTTAGCCGAATTTATTCGTTTTTTCCATAAATGATATGCTTATTGGATAATAATTGCTGATCGATTTTTTTTATACAAAGTTTTAAAATATGCTATTTGGATTTTAAACTCTCTAAATTTAGAGTTATTGGCTATATGTTCATTTCTAATTAAATTATTTTTAATACAGAATACAAAATTTTCCCAATGATCCTTACTATTTATTTCATATCCTGGTATTAATAAATGTTTACGTATATATTTGGGCGGATGATACTTCGCAAATCGTAACCAAGCTTCTGGTGTTTTTAAATTATTGATATAGTTTAAACCATATTCGGTCAACATGTATCGGGCATAACTATTTTTTTCCTATTCTTTAAAAATATCTTGAATATTGAGCATGTTTATATTTTGATTTTATTAACTAAAGCTTTTATTTAATAAGTATGAGCTGGACCAATCGATTTACTAGCAATCGTGAATAATTAGTGAAGAAAAGAGGAGTATACACTTCATAGATTTTTATTTTACTTCGTTACTGCCAATTCATAAGGAAAAAAAATATTAATATAAAAATATACTGACCCATGGTCAGCCTCAAGAATAGCATTAGGAAAATGGTGGACAACTCGAATCTCACATATGTGGGGCCCAGCAAAAATTCTCTAAACAAGTGATCACTATCCAACTCTCTTTCTGGTATTTATTTCTGAATTTCAGCTAATATTGCATTAATTTCAGCTAACATTGAATCCATTTCTATTGTTTGAGATGACGAAGAAGCCTGTATTTGGGGTTTTGAACTGTCGCTTGTCTCTGGTTCAGAGTCAGACTCTTCTGATTCTGTATTGCCTATAGCATAATTCTTTCCCGCATCATGGCGGACAATCTTATGCCTCAATGCGATTCTGTTAAGCAGATCAAGATTCTGGTGAGTTGCGTTTGGACCACCGTGGACTCTGCAGGCATGCTTTCCTCCTATTTTTCTTAATATTTTAGGCGTGATTTTATAAGGCTTCAGAAACTTGCTAAATGCCCTAGTGTTGCGCTTTCCATTTTCACTAAAGGTAGGATCACTTGACTTTCCGGCCTTTATAGCCTCTTGAATCCAGATAAGCAATGCTCTTGCACGTTCTGGGTTCTTCTCCATTGATAGAAATGGGCGAGGTTCTGGATTATCCTTATTTTCTCCTTTATTCTTAGCATACCCAGTGCAATACCAAGAATAACCGTTTTTATACCACGCCGAAGGATTGGATGGGTCAACTTCGTAGTGATCGATCTGGAGACTGGATACTTCAGCAGGTCTCATACACAACATCACTATTACATCTGCGAGATCTTGTAACAAGAGATCTTTGGTAGTATTGATATTCTGAATCCTTTTAAGTCCTTTTTCTAAGGAGAAATGTGGTGGAATTTTTAACCGATTATTGGCTACAATTCGCTCAGTCCGTTCTTTCTGAATTTTGTTAGAAGCTGTAGTAACACCTGAAATTTTAGCATAAGTATCAATAAGTTCTTGAGCAATACCAGCTTTTGCCAATTCGTTACGAAATAGTGAGAGTCATGAACAGGAGGCAACAATTTCTTTATTGTTATTAACTTTTGGACCTAAATCGAGAGCATGGATATGAATATCCCACTTATCGCCAGTTTTGGCACAATAGAGAGCTCTTTCTTCAATGGTAAGCTTTTCCTTTCTTTTGTCTGGCACGAGGACTCCTATCTGCTCTTCACTAAATTTGTGTTTAGCAAGAGCAACTTTAACGCACCTACGAGCCATCCAATCCAGAAGTGGTGCACTAAGTTCAAAAACATGTTCGCTTAATTGTTCTAGAGTAGAGTTAGCTGACAAATTATACTTTTCTAAGAACTGGTCCAGAATGCTAACATAATTATTAGTTTTGGCTTTTCGAGTCTTTAGAGCAGTTTTTGCGGTAGCCATGACAATAACAACTAGATTGCAATTATTACCTAGTTATATTAGCACATTTATTTTTCAATTCAAAAAAAATATTCCACTTAGCCGAGCCAGAGGGGACCAGTTCTTCGAACTAGGCACGCATTTCATTGATTATATCTCAAGAAATATAACTATAAGACATCGCATTTTTGAATATCTATAATAAAAGTGAAGATAAAGTTTTGAGATTATTAATATCAAAATTACCCTGTATGGCTCCTTTTACCTGCTAATATATTAAGAAAGATAGTTCGATTTGTGGGAAAAGGTGCTGGCATGCTGAAGGATGTGCCAAACATTATAATGCTCATCTTAAAACAATATGCCCTATCTGTAATAAGCGAACCTATTCCGATACTGGAATCTGTAGCACGCATAGTGAAATTTATGATCATGCCTGGCGCGAAAATAAAAAAACTAAAACAGAATCTGATGCGGTCAAGATACTTAGCTGAATAATAATTTGGCTAAAGTATTATTTTTCCTATCCTATAAAGTCAAAGAATTCCTAAGTCTCATTATCTGTTTTCGGCCTATATGGTAGAAGCTCTAGCGCGCCTTTATTTCCAATACCAAGACCATCATATGTCTGCCGATTAATTCGATATGAACGTTCCCAAACTTGTTTTTCTTTAGGTCCTATTTTTTTCCGATTGCTTTTAACTGTATAGCCACTCCAATTACCAGCGATTGCATTGATTGCCTTTATAGCCGAATTAAGATCTGGTGTTGCTTTAGCATGAGATTTAAAACCAAAGAGTAGTAAAGATTGATTTCGGATTTCTATAAATCTCTCATAGGATTGTGTAAATGTTTCTGATACAATATTACCAGGAAGGATACACTTGTCATCTATACCTGTAAAGCCTAATATCTTAAAAAGTTCCTGTATTACTTTCCAATGATTTGCTGAATAGTTTTTATGCAAGTCCTCTGCTACTGATTTTTCTAAATTCTCCTCGGCTATATAACAGGTATCCTCCCACTGTACAAAGTCTTTAGCAACCAAACCTTCTATTGCACTATCTTCATCACAACCTTGCTTCCGAAAGTAAGATAAGCACAGAAAATGTTTCTGAGGTTCAGGTGGACTAAAACATTCTACAAATTTCTTATTGCAAAGATTATCCCAATCTTCGGTACTTATATCTTTACAGCCATAAAGATTTCGCATATAGAAACGTTTAAGAGCCATAGTATCTGGGATAGAGCGTTCTTGGTC